GCAAGGAGACTAAGGTCTTCCTTACCCAAAGTTCCCTCCTATTTGATTTAGTGGCACCTGACAAAGTTTTACACATCATTCAACACATACTTACAGACCTTACACTCTGTTTGGGATTGTGAAAAGTCCCTGAGATACAAACACACATATAAAACAGTCTCTGTCCTTCATATTTTCTAATCTAGTGTGAACACATTTCATTTTTCAGAAGTTAAGTCGGTTCTAATTAAACTTGTGTTGAGGACTCCTTCAGAATTCTTCCTAGCAGTATGGATCCATGCAGCAATAAGTCATCACTGTGACATCTCTGTGAGTCACCAGCTATACTCTCAGGCTTTCATGGGGCCTCACACTGACTAAGGTAAAGCCAAAAAGAAAGAGTTTTCCTGGAAAGAACTAAAAATAACGTAAGGCTCGCTTGCTTGCAGCTGTCCCTAACCACACTCCAGCATTTCTTTGCCATCCATTTATTAAAACAAAGGAGCTAATCTGAAGTCCTGTGCAGTGAATTAAAAAGGTACTTTTGCCTTCCTGAGGTGGGGCAGAACCTTTTGAAAGAAGGCACTTCCAAGGGCCGGCCTTTCTCTTCTGTGTGCACACAGATCTCATTTTGGAGCAGTTCCAGGCCAGTCTCAAAGGTGCTGCATAGGGACTGGCTTTAATGGTCACCATCCCTCTAGACAGCCTGCCCTGAAGAAAATCTGGAGAACAGCTATTATTATTAAAGCGTTCTACACAGTAGTCCATGCTATTTGGTGTATTTAGAATGCAAAGCATGAATGTACAATAGCATAACATGCTCCACTGGAGGAAAATCAACATCCAGTTTCCAGTCTAGCAGCTGGAGGCACCAGATCCAAAGGAACAGCAAAACTGGCCCAGCCATTGGTGGGGCTCTGCCGCCCTCACGTGGCTAAAGTCCTCCTCTGACAAAGCGGCCAAGATTCGGGTGCACAGAGGGTGATTTCTAGAATAGTGGAGTGGATAAATGGATTGAGAGAGATGGGTGAATTCATTCATTTACACGTTCATTTAATAAGTATTAATTTCAACCATTTTTCCAGGCACGGGGCTAAGTGCTGCTAGGAAGTGACATCTGAGCTCTGAGATGTGAGAATACACTGATGTTAAGTAAGCCTGGTTTCAGCAGGGCTGCCCTGCGCACTGGTCCCAGCAGAATACGGGCTGGTCAGTGGGAAACCCGTGGCAATAAAGGCAGAAGTTCCCAAGTACGTTTCTTCCTCTTGAATGGCGAAGCTGTCTCTGGATAAGCACATCCTATAGCTCTCATCTACTGGGTCAGTAGGAGAAAGGATAACAGGCAGTAGATGTGGACTTAGATTTGTACTAGAAGAAGTACAGGGAAAGGCAGGCTATATGCCCCATTTGGGTAGTGAATGAGCCATTTAAAAAATATTCCAGCACAGTCCGTAAGGGCATAATATGCATATTTCTACTACTGTCCCTCTCTTCCCTCCACACCTACGTTTTGTAAAAAGTTACTGTTTTGAATTACCTTAGCAATACATAATACAACCTTGTTTGGAAACATTTAAGGAGTAAGAAAATAGAGTGAAATGTAAGGTTCTTCCCTCAAAATCCACTGTTCTCCTCAACTCCATTTCTCTTCCTAGAAATAAGCGCTATTATCAACTTGCTGTGTTTCCTTCCAGAATGATTTCTGATGAATCCATATAAATACATAATAGTACTGTGATTTTACATAACTAAAAATATGTATTTTTCTTCACTTTTTTCACTCAACACTATTTTTCAATTTTAGTATACAGTTCATAGAATACTTGGACTTAAACCTCATTTTTTGTAAATAGAATTTCACAGTAAAAATATACTTCGGCTATTTCACTACTTCTGTTTTGATAGTTCACCAGATGAAAGCTACTAACTAAGGTCTTTCTGGATTTCTATAAGCAAGCAAGCAAATAAAAATAGCCCCAAGTCTAAGCCTAATAAAACAGATATCTTCCTTGACTCTCTCACTTGCAGTGCCTCAATGAATTCCAAGACCTGAGCATATTTACAAATCCAGAATCTCACTGTAAAGCCAGGAACCCTCGAGAGAGAATTTGGTAATAATATGACAAGTATGCACTATGATTTTCAAGTTCTTATCTTCTGCAAAAAGGACTAGTGGTCATCAATAAATCTGCCCTAAAAAGCAAAGTCCCAATCCTCAGGATGATTGACAGCTACCTCTTGGAGATCCAGAGTGTTACAAAGGTCACTGGGTAAAGTGGAGAGATCGAGGAATTTTACCCTGCGTCCATGTCCACCACACGCCCACACACTGTTATTCCACTCCCCTCCCTACTTAATCCAAATAGCACAACAGAAGTCACACGAATCCCTGAATTTAGCTATGATCAGATTTGAAGATATATTTAACCTTCTGGTCTGGTTGGTTGATAAAGATGACTGATGTTTATAAGTTCAATCAAGCAGTACAGCCAGCTACAGGTACTTTTCCAGATGTGGTCCTTTTGGACAAACAAGTCGAGGCCCTTGTTTGCAGCTATTGTTTGGGCAAATGTTCTGTCCCCTCTCCATCCAATAACCACCTTTTATCATCTTACAGGGTCTATGGGTCAGGAATCTGGACACAGCTTAGCTGGGTGCCCCTCCTCTGGGTCTTTCAGGAGGCTGCAGTCCAGATGTCAGGTGGGTCTCAGCCATCTCCAGGCTTGCCTGGGAGGATCTACTTCAAGTTCGCTCATGTGATGGTATCAGGCCACAGGTGCTCATTGGTTGCTGGCTGGGGATGTAACTCCTTGGGGCAGCTCATATCATGGCTGCTAGCTTCCCTCACAGTGAGTCAGAGAGTGACACGGTGTGCTTAAGATGGGAGCCATAGTCCTTTTGTGTCCCAATCTCCAAAGTGATGTCCTATCATCTTTTGTATGCTTAAGACTAAAGATATGAGGTCAGCCCACACAGCTAAGATTTACTGAGCACCTTCTCCATGCTAACGGACAGTCATACACTCAGGTTCCATCTGGACAAAGACTCAGGCCTGCCTGATGTCAGATGTCCCTGCTTAGACAGCAGCTGAGCACTCCACCTGATCTAGCTATAGGTGAGCAGTTCCCAGGTAAGCAGATTTGGTATCTACTGGGAGCCTATCTTTATTATACTCCATCTCCACATGTCCTCATACAGAGGCAAGACTCGGGGAGCTCTCTGAAGTCTCTGTTACAAGGGGACTAATTTCATTCTTGAGGGCTCTACCCCTTTTGAGGGGCTTAACCACCCCTGAAAAGCATCATCTCAGACTTATCACACCAGGTGAGAGGCTAGGATTTCAACATGTGAATGAGGCAGGGACACAAGCATTTAGTCCCTAACTCTACCATTCTCTTAATTTGTACTTTGATGGTCTTTATATTATAGATCATGGTTATCTTAGGACATAAAGTTTCTTCCCATGAATTTATATTATGCAATGTGTACCAGGGTGTTTATATTAAAGTTTTGTTACATATTCCAAGTTGCTTTCTAAATAGTTGCAACTGTTGGATTCCAGCATGCCACTATATTTGGAGTAAGCACTGGTGGAACACACTGAAGACTCACGCGCCAGCCTCAAAAAAGTTGTCTGTACTGTGCTAGCTGTCACCAATTTATCACCTCTTACTCATCCCTCAACTCAGTGGGGTTTGGCTTCTGCCCAAACCACTCCACTGAAACTGCTTCTGTTAGGGCTCTTGTTGCTATATCTACTTCTAAGAAGTAGATCTGACAGTCTGAGACTTGTTTGCCTAGAAGCTTTTCTGGTCTCCAGTTTTTCCTCTCCCCATTTTTAGTTGCTGGTGCTGGTCCACCCTGTTTTCTGTAGCCTGCCCATGTTTCCTGGGACCTATCCCAGGTCCAATGCTCTTCTGGTTTAAATACTCTCCTCAGACAATATCAGCTATCCTCATTTCTACATAATGATGTCCCATATCCACCTGCTCACTCCACAGGGCAATCTGGGAGGAGGGCCCAAGCCCACCTCACTATGCCAATGCTGAAAACAAAACTCATCCTCTTCTTCCACTCCTATAAATGTTCCCCATCTCAGTAAAAGGTTCCACCACATACCTAGATGTTCAACCTAGAAATCTGGGCATTATCTCCTCCTCCCTCACTCCCCACTTCAAATAATCCCCTAGTCCTGTTGATTTTAGCTCTCCAGTTTATTATCCACATGTCCCTTGTTCTCTGCCATCACGAGTAAAAGCCCCTCTCAGCCCATGTCTAGATTACTGCAACATTCTAACTTGCTCTGTCCTCTAGTCTTGCTTCCCTCCAATCCATTCTTCATGCTGCAGGGAGAGGGACCTTTGAAATGGAAACCTCATCACAATCTACCCTAGTTTAAAACCCTGCAGGATCTCCCTACCGCCTCACACAAAAATCCACCCTCCTTTGTTTCATGCGGCAGAGATATGAATACATATGAATTTTGAAAAATAATCATATAAGCTGGGCATGGTGGCACTTGCCTGTAATTCTAGCAGTGGGGAGGCTGAGGCAGGGGGATCGCCATGAGTTCGAGGCCAGGCTAAGCCACATAGTGTGTTTAAGGCTAGCCTGAACTACAAAGCGAGACACGGTGTCAAAAAAAAAAAAAAAAAATCATACAGTAAAATGGATTTTTGGTATACAATTTTACACAATTTAACCATTAGTGTACCACTATCAACCTCCAAAATTCCATGTCATTCCTTTGTAGGTACACCCTCTCTCAACCCTAATTTCTCAAAAATGTCAGTGAAACAGGGTATAATTCTTTAAAAACTAAAAACCGAAGAACTCAGGCCCCGTGAAGGTGGCGTCTTTAAAGCCACTGCCCATCTCTCACCTCCAAAATCTGTCCCTACCCTGCCCGCTCCGGCGCGTGCAGCAGCTCGCCGTCGAGGCACTCTTACTCAGCATTCAGCGCGCCGCGGGAGGCGGGAGTGCGCGCGCCGCCCCTCGTGCCCACCTCCCCCACCCTGTTCGCCACCGGCTGGCGTCTACCGTTGCCTGGCGCCCCAGGCCCTGAGGTGGGACGGTCGGCCGCTGACACCCTCCCCTTTCGACCCTGAAGTACCCGGCCTGGTGGCCCCAGGAAGTTCCCGTCGCATGGCGGAGTGCTGCGGACCACGCCCATGAAGTCCGTAATCCTTCTAGCGGCGCTGTTGCTATGGCCTGCGTCCTCGCCGGCGTTTCCGGTGTACCGGAGTAAGTGACCGGCCCGCCCGGCCCGGGCCCAGCCCGAGGGTTCCGGCCTGCCCGACGTCCACAGTTCTCCCGCCCCTTTCTAGGGTGCTGGTTCCGCGTGTCCCTCTGTCACCCATCGGCCCCGCCGCCGAGGGGACACTTTTCCTCCGTCACCCCTGTCCCCTGCCTGGCATTTGCTACCCAGGGAACAAAGCAGGAGCTGCAGTCTGCGGGCCAAATGCGTCTGCTTTTGTATAGCTAGCCTACTGACACTGTTTTGACTTTTTTTTTTTTTTTTTCCTACAGAAAATTAAACCCAGGGCCTTTGCACTGAGCCTCATCCCCAGCCCTTTAGTTTTTGAGACAGGTTCTCACTGTCACTAAGTCGCCAGGCTGGGCTCCAACTCGTTATCCTCCTGCCTCAGCCTTCCAGAGTGCTGGGATTGCAGGTGTGCACCACCACGCCTGTCAACACTTTCTAAAATGTAAATATGAAATGTTTTGTTTTCGTAAAATGTGAAAGAGTATGGCGTCCAGATTTCACTGCTCATAAAGTTTTATTAGAACACAACTGTGGCCATTCCTTTATGCACTGGCCATGGGGGCTATAATACGTAGCAGTTAAGTGGTTGTTTCACCCCCTAAGGCTTGCAAAGTTTAAAATATTTACTGTTTGACCCTTGACCCCTGTGGTAAAAGTTGGACAGCACGGGAGATTGTGGGCAGCTGTCTGGGTCACTCATAGACCTGAGGAGGCAGTTTCTTAGAGCGGCTTGGTGGCCAGGAGCTCAAAGCCTTGATTAAACAGAATTCTTATGATTCCCAAGGAACTATTTTGTTCCCCTCAATAGCTGAAACCCAGGAGGGTTAAATTCAGCATTGCTGAGACATTGCATTGACAGCGTCACGTAGGTATCTTGAGACATGTGTAAGTACAGTATCTGATGCGGCTGTGAGATTTGCTTCTCTAATCTAACTGCGGTTCACTGTGGCATTTAATATTGTTGGAGTTTGTTTTAACGGGGTCAATACATAAAATTTAACAAGCAGGTGTAAAAAAAACGTGTACTAATTATGCAGTCATATTTCAGAATTGTTAAAAGGTGTTAGTTGAGCTGAACATACTGTCTCCCTCTGTAATCCCAAGTACTAAGAAGGCTGAGGCAGAATGATTGCAAATTTGAGGCCATTCTGGGCAATCTGGAGAGGTGCTGTTTCAAAAGAAAAAAAGGACAAGGGTCTGGGAATGTAGCTCAGTGGTAAAGTGCTTACCTGACATATACAAAGCCCTGGCTTCAATCCCCATACTGAAAACAAAGAAAACAAAAGCAACTTAAAAATTAGATTTAAAAGCCAGGCATGCCGGTACAAGCCTGTAATCCCAGCATGTGGGAGGCCGAGGCAGGAGGATTTCTATGAGTTCAAGGTCAACCTGAATTACATAGCAAGACCCTGCTCTAAAAAAATTAGATTTAAATAATGAAAACACAACACAACTTTAAATTATCATGAACAGCAGTGGGAAAAGTTCTGGGTAAAGTGTCCAGAGAACTAAAACTAATTTTAAATACTACCACTTATGATTTTTTTAAGCTGTTTTTTAGTAAAAGTCTTTGTAAAAGTTTTCTTCCTTCCCATAAAGGACCAAAAATGAAGGTGACATTATCTTTTCTTGATATTTGACTATCTTTATTACTAAGAGTGGTTTATTGCACTTTTGGAGTGATAGAGCAGCAGATCACAAGGAGCATACAGAGGGGCTTTCATTGAGGTGACACAAATCCTATCTGGGACTGTTACCCAGCAGTCCCTGGATACTTAATACAATGCAGTCTCCTGCCTAATTCCACAATTTCCTGGCCTGTTTTCTTTTGCACCTTTTCCCCTAAACTTTCTTAGGGCTTTTAGGAAATGAAAAGACATTCCTCAGAAGTAACTTTGTATACTCAGACTTTGTGTTGAGTGTACAGATGATATAAGACATAAATATATACAGGTTATGAAACATAGAAGATATCTTGAAAATGTAATTTACTACTTTTTTGTAGACATAGATTAAGGGATATGAAAGACAGTGTTACATGGCTGCTTTCTCTGGATCTGTCTTTCTTATTTTCTCCGAATTTTTTTTAATTTAAAAAATAAGCATACCAAACAAAACTGGGCTTATTTCAGTGGATTTGATATAAATCAGTTATATTTTATATCGGCCCAACTAAAACCACTCTTGGCAAGCGCTACAAATAAAAAATATTCTCTCATGCCAGAGATAAGGCACATAGGTTTTTCTAATGAAAAGCAAAGCTCTGATAAATTTTTCTGGGCTACTAAGACAGTTTTGAGGTTATCTTATTTAAACAGCGCAGGTATATTAAATAAATGCATTTGTTGAAAGCCTCAGTACCGTTTTAATCTAAGTTCAGCTTGAAAGGAAGGACTCTTGGGCATACAGGAGATAATACTTCCCTAGATACACGTATATCCTGGTGGTGCTGGATAAATAGACGACATACTTAATTTTTTATACATTCATTTAGTTTCCTGTATCTGATTTTTCATAATTTGAAATACTTTTTTGACTTTTTTTGAGACAGTCTCACTCTGTAGTTTAGCCTGGTCTTAAAATCTGTGCCATTAACTCTGTTTTTGCTTATCTGTATAATGAGGTGACCTGGAAAAAAGCAGGGTAGCCTTAAACACACTCAGTGCTCCTCCTGCCTCAGCCTCCATCACACCCAGCTACTACTTTTAAATTTTTAAAAAAATCTTTCCTCTTTCATGTATTTTTACTGTAAAACTTGCTGTACTACTTAATGAGAATTCGTTTTGCTTTTCAAAATGTACATTTGCTAAAAGTAACAACATATTTGTTATGTATTCAAATAATATTAACGATTACTAAAATGATAGAACTTGCCTTTTATAATTTGTCACTAAATATTCATGGCTGCAAATCCAAGACGGTGAAATGTTAGTTTGGGGGAGGTTTTGGCATCTTGTGAATAAATTGCTTTTTTCCAGGTCACCTCATTGTACAGATGAGCAAAAACAGAGTTAATGGTACAGATTTTAGTCCAAGGGTGACAAGAACCTCTTCACCGCCTCTCTAGAGTGGTATTAAAAGGAAGCTCCGGTGTGTGAGCCTTTGGTCTCAGTTCTTGTGCTTAGAAAGGCCTGTGTTCTAACAAACCACAAAAGGCGAGGGAGGTGTTAGAGTAGCAACCGGCCAACAGTTGCTCAAATCTATCACCAAATCAATGGAGAGGAAAAGCAGGTTTATTCCAGTAGCTTGAAAGGTAGAGTGCACTTGACTAGGGTTCTGCAAATTCACTGCCTCAGAGGCCAGGCTCTGGCGCCTGGAAGGAGCTCTCAGACCTAGGAGGGGAGTGTCATGATGCTCTTTACTAGTGTTCGAGATGATTACAAGCATGACATCTAGCTGGTGAGTGAGTGTTCAAAGAGTGGCTCTCTGGGATAGCAGGAAGTTTCATTAACCTGTCCATTCATGATTTGTGGGGAAACCAGTCTTTTATCTTGATTCTTTTGACCATATTAGCCCTTAACTGGCTATACATTGATCGCCTTATACTATGTGTAAAATTAAAGTTAAGCAGCACTTTGTTTTCTTATCTGGATAAAATAAAAATGAGTACAATTTTGGTTACTTGAAGAGGGATGATGTTTTCCTTTTTTAAACATCATTTTCTATTTGTAGCTTTTTATTTTTATTTATTTATTTTTTTATTTATTTTGAGACAGGGTTTTGCTATGCAGTTGAACTCCCTTGGTAGCGTTGAACTCCCTTGGTAGCCCATGCTGGCCTCGAATTCACAGCAATCCTCCTGCCTCAGCCTCCTGAGTACTGGGATTACAGGCGTGTGCCACCACGTCTGGCCTATTTGTGGCTTTTTAAAACACTTGATTTATTTTACCTAACTATAATTTTTCTTTTCTGAGGCTCCAGTATTCACTCCTTGACTAATCAGAGTCCCCGGAAGCTTCTTTCTGTACCCTTTTGGTAGGATCCTGTGTATTTTTTAAAGAGTACTTGTTTTCTGACATTAACTGGTTTTCCCAAACCTACTTTGATCATCTCTGCTTTGACAAAATCAATCATCCCTCCAAGGACACATAGTACAACCAGATACTAAAAGGTCAGGTGTCTGGGACACAAACTAGACTTGTGTGGTGGGTGGTTCTGGTAACTTTGGACATTTTAGCTAACAGAACTAGAAGATGTGTTTTGAAGTCAGGGGTTTATTATGATTCCAATTATATTTTCGCATGACTCATAGGATCACTTCTAGATTTGTAACTCTTCCCTGATTTAAAGTTGTATTCTTTTTTAAGAGTTTGTCTTGGGGCCAGGGATACAGCTCAGTGGCACAGCATGTGCCTGGCAAGCGTGAGGTCCTGAGTTCAATTCCCCATACAAAAAAAAAAGAATAAATGGGTTTCAAAAGTCTGTCTTGTTACCATTTGTAGCATAAAAGACTGCCACCCAAATTCATCATTTTTTATGATTTGCGTCATCAGGTGTAGCTAAGGTCACTTGCGCAGCGGCTTTTTGCTGGAAACTCAACTGGGACCAGAAGTTCAAGATGGCTTCTCGTGTTCCAGGGCTTTCCCCAACATAAATCCTCATCTTTCCAAAGCAGACCCAGGTTTTCTTATACCATGGTAGCTGGTTTCCAAGAGGGGCTCCCAAAACTCCCAAATGCAAGCTCTTCAGAAGCCTTGCTGTAAGAATGGCTAACGTCCCATGGGCCCAGACAAGTCACAGGAGAAAATCCACATTTTGTGGGAAGAAGGACCCCAGGACAGAAACAGCAGGAATTATGAGGCCATAAAGTTACATTTATTTAACTGGAACATTTGATTTGTATGAACATAACTACTTGTGTATCTGTCACCAAAAATTAGAAATTGAATTTGTAATAACAAGTTATAGAAAAGTGCTTGTTGTAATAAAAATCCTAGTTACATTTGAATATTTTTCTTTTTGTCTTTTTGAGACAGGG